ACCCGGACGGCTACCTAATCTCACCGAAACCGTTCACGAAGCATCGACCTTGAGACGCTGAATCCATTTCCGCGAAGTCTTCGAGAACCCGCGCGTCGCAAATCGAAAGCTCACCCTCAAAACTCATAACATGTCATTAATAGGGATCAGCGTTGGTCAATCTTTACATCGCACGCGACCGCAACCCCTCCAAACATGACACGACGACTGCCCTGGGCGCGCGACGACGTCGACCCAGTACGAACACCCGCGAAAGCCGCCACCAAGCCGTCGACGTCTCGTTCAGCAGCGACGCCGCAACGCGCCACGCCAAAGCAGAAGGCGACACCAACGTCGCGCAACTCAAAGCAACAATCGTCACGGTTGAATGGCCTCCTCAGAGGTAGGTGCTCATCACTCACGGCAGCGCGGACGCTCACTCAGATGTCGCAGACCGAAGTGCTTCAACCTCACCACCACCACAGCCCATACCGGAAATGTGAGCTCTCTGCCTAACCAACACGTTCGTGCAGCACTGAACCTCTCGCAGCTTCATGATTGAAGGCCTAGAAAATGACGACAAGTATCGCATGGTCGAGGACGAACTCTTCACCGTCGCCGGCCAGTTCACAGCGCATCTCCACGCAGCGGAGTACCAACGCCTCAAAACGCAGACGAAATCTCAGAACGCGGAGACGATCAAGAACATCTCCCGCCCCGTTGTCGGATCCCTGACCGAGATTGCGAGGAGACGTCAAGAGGAGCTGCTCCGTCGTAAGAAGCAGCGCGAGGCGCTCCGCAAAGCGAAGAAGGAGGCCGGCGTCGACGATGAGAGTGGCGACGAGACGAGCATGCCGTGGCACGGCACCTCGCTGCAGGGGTTGATGGACAGCCCGCAGAAGAAGGAGGTGCCGCTCACGACGCTGACGAGGGCAGACTCGGGGACGAAGACGAGCTTGTTTGGAGGAGTGATCAAGTCTCAGAGGAGATCTGCACCTGTGAGCAGAAGAGAGGATTTGGAAGAGGAAACGGAGTCTGAGAGCGATGACCTTGGCGGCTCGGTGAAGGCCCCAACGAGCCGAGAACCGGTGAGGTCAGCGCAGGTATCGAGGCCTTTGCCAAAGGATCTGGCGCGGTCCACAGCGCCGGCTTCCAAGGGAGCGGGAGCCGCTACTTCGCTTGGAGCCGCGAGGCATGCTTCCCGTGTATCCAAAGAAAGACAGACGACAAGACCAACAAGCAGCTCCTCATCGAATAGCACAACAAGAACTGCAACGCCAGCTGCCGATGATGGTGACGACGAAGACGACATCTTCACGCGCCACAAGAATCGCACTGCAAGGGCAAGAACGCCACGGCTTGGAGCTGAGAAGCATACATCATCAACGGCAAGACCGATGAGCAGCTCCTCATCAAACAGCACGACTGCAACGACGACGCCTGCTTTCGATGACGGCGATGACGAAGATGACGACATATTCACGCGCTTCAAGAATCGCACTGCAAGGGCAAGGCCACCACGGCGAGCGCCCGTGAAGAAGGCGGAAACTCAGGACTCGAGAGATATCATTCCATCATTCTTATGAGCTCGACTCCTCACACAATTAATGTAATCTAATAATTCAATACCAAGAAGGCTTGTCATTCACCCATATCAGACGGCATTTTCTTCAAGCTATCGCTACTTTAAGGTCTTAGCAATGGTGGTGCTCATCGTCAGACTCCTCAACGGTTGCTATCTCCCGCTTCTGACTTTCTGAACGCTCGAAAAGGTTACGACCTGTTAGCTTCTTGATGAGATTGGTGCCGTCCAGAGCAAGAGTCGAGAGCACATGAGCGGTGGTCTGTGGACCAAGTTAGCTATGCAACACAGGTGAGAGGAACGAAAGCCTTACCTTTGCGTTCACCGTCAGCTGGTCCAGGTCCGGGTTGTTGATGTTGTCGCATGCTTGATGATAGCAGGGATCCTGGGCAGAACCTGTCCCCGTGTGAAGACCTCCGATTGGCTTGTTCAACACCTGCCAGAACGACGCATAGTCACTGCCGTTGGTGAAGCGCGCCGCTGTCACGTCGATACCCTTAGAGACGAAGTCGGCGGTGAACAGCTCCTGGATCACGTCCGAGCCGGCCGGTGCGGGGACGCCGTAGGCGGCACCGTCGCCGTCGAAGACTCCGTAGTAACCCTTGGACACCATATCGAAGTTGAGATACGCCAGGATATTGCCCGCCTCGGCGGCGGTGAGGTTGTTGACGTAGTAGCGCGAGCCGATGAGGCCCTTCTCCTCCGCACCCCACCACGCGAATCTGATCTTGTTGTTCACGGAGTACTTGGCGAGGGCTAGGAAGAGCTCCAGAAGGAGTGATACGCCAGATCCTGCTGAAGTTAGTCTAGTGGTTCTCATGGCTACACACGTGAATAAGATGACACTCACCATTGTCGTTAATACCTGGACCCCAAGCAACGCTGTCGAGATGAGCACCAAGCTAGGCATCATTTAGCAACGCGTCAACTTCTAAGAAGCAAACAAACTCACAACAATCACATTCTCGGAATCTCCGCCTTCTGTCTCGGCAAAGACGTTCTGCGTCACCCGACGATCAACGTACTCATCCTCCCAGAACGTCGCCGTCAAAACCTCTCCAGCGAGCAGACGCGTCTCCAGCGGGTCTCCAATATACTTATTGACAAACCCGCTAGGAATGAACGTCCCGTCATCAGCCACCCCAAGCGAACCCGCCGTCAAATTAAACTGGAAGTCCGGAATCGCAATCACAGCGCTCGCACCAGCCGCGGCAGCCGGCTTCATGATACTGGCGTACTGCGAGCTGCGGCTGTACCCGTCGCACAGCGTCTCGCGGACCAGGACGATCTTGCCGGCCACATCGCGGCCGTCGTACGAGGACGCGTTGCAGGCGTCTGAACCCTCTGGTCCGAGGACGAGCTGGCCCGTGATGCCCTCGGCGGGCGTCGCGGGCGACAGCGTGAGCCCGTACGCGACGAGGGCTTCGCCGTTGACGGTAAGGTTGGCCCTGATCTCGCTGCTGAAGACGGCGGAGAAGTCTTGCTTCCAGACTTTGGCGCCGGAGACGCTGGAGATGCGGTCGTAGACGTAGTCGACGGAGGCGGCGTAGCCTGGGAGGCCGAAGGCGCGGTTTCCGCCGTTGGCTGTGGCGATGTCGCTTAGGGAGACGAGGTTGGCTTCCAAGCTGCGGAATGTGTCAGTTGCGACATGAGCAAAATCTTCGACTGTGACAGCGCGTACTTGTCTCTGGTGATGGCTTCTTGGAAGCTGGCCGAGTCGACGAGGGGCTTGTCGTCTTGGCGCTTTTGCAGCGAGCATGCGCCCAACGCGACCCAGAGGGCGCCGGTGATGGCCAAGGACCTCATCTCGAACGGTTCTTTACGGGCGGGAATGAAGGTGAACTTGTGACACCTTAAAGGAACATTGAGATCTCACAGGAGCGGGTTCCCGTTTTTTTTAAGATAATGGCGGCCTTCTTTCTTTCTTTCTAACTTTTCTTCGCAGTTTGCCGCGCACCTTTTTGACTGCCACAGCCGAAGAGCGGCATGGTATCATGTCGTGTTCGGTGGGACCCCTGGACGGGTGATCGAAGAATGAGGAAGGTCGCAGCGAGAAACCCGGGCTCTAATCCCGATTTCATTATCAGAACCGACCGAGTCCGCCACAATGTTGACAATGCCAAGATGCCAACCACCACAGAAATCATGCCTTGGAAATCGCGACATTCCGAACATGGTGTTTTGAGAACAATTTGGGTGTTCGGATGCTACAGCGCCTCGCTCTCGCTTGGCTGACCCAGAACCCGCGAATGATCGACCGGGAAGTCAGATCTTTCCGCCAAGCCTTTCTTGCAGGGGTCACTGACCAGGGACTCGACGGCGAGGGACGTTTAAGTATCACGATCGTGAGTCTCGGGAATAATTTCATCTAACATGCTATGTTACAATGCTTGCCTAACATCAACCGAAAGGTATCTTTCTTGCTGTCATCTCAGAAGCTTGCATTCCCGCTGAGGGAACCAAGACCAAGACTCGTCTGCTAGAAGTGGAGGTGTCTCTATCCCCAGATCTTGGTTCTTGGCTCTTTTGAACTTTCAATGATTACTTCAGAGCTTCCACGACATCATCCATGGATACTCCTTCGAGTCTCTTCATTGCCTATTATGATCAAATCGCTTACCACCCGTTCGCTAAGCGTCCCTAGAGGTGTCCTGGCAGCCCAATAACATCATGCAAGGCCCATAAAACAGAATTAAAGTACAAGAAGACCGGGGTCTCAACATTTGTTGCAAGCCGGGAGCCGAGCTTTGGCGGTGTAGGAAGGTATGCCAACATGCCTTGATATTGAACGGCGCAGAGCGTGCGGGGAAAACTCGACCCTACAGAGAGTGTTTTTGAAATGGTCTGATTTCATGCTAGAAACCTGAGACATGCTCCTTCTATTTCTCGCGTGGGAGAGCCAAGAGATTTCGGTCGGGAGCACCGATTCGGCAACGAAGACAGTTTCAAAACCCTCAGCTAGACCCGAGGTCTGTGGAGGTCCTGAAAACGTAAATCACAGAGAAATGAACGAATAGGAGGATAATACGACCGCCGCAATCACATCCCTACCGGGGCGCTAGACGTTGCGGCAGAGGAGCGGGCCGCTAAAGAAGCATGTCTCAGGGTATTTGGAGACAATTTGCGTGCCGCACTCCAATGCAAACTACTTGTTGTAAGACAGGATATCAGAATATGACTGCGCACATATGCGCGTTACCGTGGTACCCGCTGGAAGCGGTGAACTGCTTCCGGTGTGGGGAAGCGGCTGGCTGAAGTTGACAGGACGACTGTTTCGGGAAATAATATGAATGTTTGTGCGAACTGTCAACAGATTTTTGTCTTGGCCTCGGCGCATACACGAAAGACAGGTCAGCTAACACTCATTATAAAAGGGACACCAGCTATCCATCTCCTCGACAACCTGCTACCAATGCAGTCAAGACCACAGCAATCCAAGATGCATCTCTCCGCTTTCTCCTCACTTTGTCTCGGCACACTCGTTGTCCTGGGCTCACCAATTGTCCAAAGACGCGATGTAGGTCCCAATAATACTTTTGTAATCATTCTCATATACTGACCATCCGCTGAGTAGACCGATCTTAACTCCACTCGTTGTCCTGACTTTTGCGCCAACACAGAGACGACAACCGATTCGGATCCGGCGCTGTATGTATGCGGCGACAAGCGTCTCGGGCCTGTCACGCTGCCTTCCGGAATCCCGCTTGAAGGCATCGCTGGCATGGGCAGTACATATCGACGCTTCGGCGGGCTCTGCCCTGGCGAGTTTCTCGCCAAATACTGGAACACGACATCTAAATGGTTTGACTACCCGAAGCATGAAGGCTACAGTCTCGACACCGCGGGCGAAGTTGCAAAGTTCAATCTTACGCTCAAGCGGGGAGATTTCATCGACCGGTTCGGCAGCGAGAACGGCACATACGTAGCCCCGGCAGGCACACCATATGCCCTACGTAGCTTGCCGCCAGTAAATCTCAATGCCAAGCCGGAAGCAAAATACCCGTACAACTATTATGTGTACATGGTCATGAGGAACATGGTGGTAGAGGGTGGTCCCATTGCGCCGTGGTTCGGCCAACAGGGATTGGGAATACAGTTTCTAATGCCGGATCATAAACAGCTTTGGCAGCTGGTCGAAGAGGGGTATTTAGCGAGAATTGATTTGAAGACGGATCCGTATTGGTAAAACGTTCTTGAGATTCGATCTTGTATCTACCACAGAGAAAACTATTAGTCTGGAGCAAATCCCAGCGACCTGAATAACATGACAATGCACAATAACCCCAGAATCTCTTAAAACGATGTTTTTAGCATGCAAAAATCCAGAGTAGACTAAAAGATGATTCAAACAGCTGGGCTTGGCAAATAGACCTAAGTTACTATTGGAGCATCCCCTGTCGCTTGAGCTAAGAGCATGAAGTCGCCTGGCAAACTCGCGGCCGAAGAAAGCAAAGTAGAAAAAAACCGTAAGATATGTATGTGTGACGAAAACATTTACATAGAAGCTTCAAGTGTTACTTATGCGCTCGAATCACCTTCTGTCGCAAGCAAGATCAACATGAAATAAGGCAGACGAATAGGACAAACAAAACACACAGGTGGAAGGACTGTGCTGCAAATCGCGCTTTCAAGGAAAATCGTTGAAGTTTGTTTCATACACGTTGGTAATTGCCCTGTTTTGATGCCTAGGAAACTTCCGGAACTTCATGTGCTTGCTTTGCATCCTCATCTAGTGAGTCATTCGAATTTCATTCACCTTGAAGCAACTGTACTGGAGCTAGCGATATTCAAGGCTGTTGATAGAAAGGCAGGCAATGAAATTATGGGTTGTGGGGAATTGAGTGACACAAAGTTTTGCTCGTCAGTCCATTTATTTGAGGCACTATCAAGAGCACCCCGTCACCAAATCTCAAATATGCGCTCTTTCCATAATAGCCCTAATCCCACGATGGAAAAAAACTACACTGCTTCAGGGCTGGCATCACACCCGTGGCTTCATTTTGATCCTCTTCATTTACTCTTTGGGCTGCGTAGACCACGGGTCCATGCCTGTATCAGACGTGTGTCTAGCGTGTCTAATCATATGTGAACTGCCATGCTCGCCTGGAAACGGGAATATTGTTACTTCTACAGCCTGAAAGTGTCAAAGGATTGGATTTGTTCACATTTCTGACAGTATCTTCGGTCATGACTCTAGTTGTACTGATGAGAAAATCTTCAATGGCATCATTTCGAAGCCTTTGAGTTCGATTCTTATTCCTTTTCATTACATTCTGATTTTGATGTTTGCCTCAGATCGCCAATGAAAGTAGAGTTGGAGACCTTATCTTTGTTTCTGGGACTTGTCGAGACGCCTTCCATGTCCACGTTCCTGACTAGGACTTGTATACCGAAGCGGTGTGTTCGACATTGCTCAATCGGACGAAGCCAGGCCCTGTATCAGAGCTACCCGATGCTCCAGATTATTCTGGAGCAGGGACTTCAAGGACTTAGAGAGACCCAGGCAAACTTTAGCATCAATCGTAAGGGACGAGGGAAAGAGCCGAACGAGAGATTGGCGCCAAGACCTTCGGTCTGTTCAAGAAGAAATAATCGAGCAGTTTGAGATCTCGCTGGAATACTGGAATCAACCCTTGACGGACTGTGGTCGCTAGAAGCTTTTGCAAGGCCCCTTAGAGTTAAACTTTAGAGACAGAATGCCGACAGAGATCTTCCGGCTGCCCAGGATCGTATTGACTTGGGTATCTGACGTTGTTTGGATGTTGAAGCAGAAGCAGGGCATGCACAAGGCTACCTTGATAGAAGGTCATCATTATCGAGACCGAGACAGATCGGAACGCTGATAGTTTTATTGATCTCTGTTTCATCAGGGCGAGAATGCTCCAAACACTTATGCTTCGAATCTTTAGACAGGTTTCCCACTAACAGCTAGTGATCCATATTCTTGAGAGCCTCTACCTCCTGCCCAAATCTTCCTCCAGTCTCGCGCCTGCCGATCAAATCCCAGCTTCTCTTCACCTTCTCTCCAGGGTTATAAAAAATCCAATCTCCACACTTCTATTTCCTCTCTTACCATTTCCCTCTCCCAATTCCAAGCCTCATACTTTTCACAATCCCACAGCTCTCAACAACACCCCGGGACCTGACAAAGGTATGCACTGCCTGTTGCGCCCTCAAATCCCTACTTTCAATCTAACAAACATTTGTACCAGACAAATACAATGGATTCACACTCACGCGCTGCCTTTACGGACCGCGTCATGAATGCAAGTCTTCAGGAATGCATTGTGGGATCGCGCGAGGAAGCCTCTGCTACAACAGGAGCTGCAGACCGCGCTGCTATGTGGCAGCAAAGAGGAATCGAGTTGAACAACGAGATAACCAGACGAAAACGCGCCATCGCCAACGAGATGAGCCACAACACTCAGCGTGCAGTTGCAGACGAACGCCGGGCCCAAGAGGGCAATTCCAACCTTGCTTCCTCCGCTGTCTTGGCCCCTGCCCAAGCTCCTGCCACTGCTTCGAAAGCCATCAACAATCCAATTCTGGCCCAAATCTCTGCCAGTGCCCCGGCTCTACTCGCTTCCGTCCCTGCCCATCTTCAAGCTGAGGCTGCTGCCTCCTGCGCTGCTCATCTTGCCGACCTCGATACCAAGGCGGCTGCGGCTTCAGCTGAAGCTGCAGAGTCTCCCACAGATGCAGACCTTGCTTCTAAGGCAAAGGTGGCTAATGAAAGAGCCAAGAGAGCCCATCAGCGCGCAAAGCTTTCTACTAAGGTCTGTGTGCACTATCACGACAAATATTCGTTCAACGATACCCTGCGCCGCCACCTCAAAGACATTCATTACAAAACTCTGGAGCCATACTGCAACCTTTCTCAGGCTGATCAGAATGCCGTCGCTACCGCCAAGGCCCCCTGAGTATATAGGTGGAGAGTGGTACACGGATGGTTGGACAAAGCACTATGCTCTTTGCGGTCGCTGAGCATAATAAAAAACATTCTTAGGCACTTTCGCTGTGAGTCACGACAATACAGCGTCTCTTTTACAGATAGCGACACCGAATAAAATCAATTTGCGACAGTGATTCTGAGTTCTTTGGTTTAATTAGTATTTTCGCATTTGAGTCTGCTTCTATTTTTGTGTTATTTAGCCAAAAGAAAACCACCAAAACCTTTCACAGGGAGCAGGCAATAATCATGAGATCCATGAAGCTTCTGGAGTCACAGGACTTAGCAATTCTACGCCTAATAATTCTAAACAGCTCACCTACAGAATCATGTCATGAGAAGCTTCTTGCCAATGTTAGAAGACACTGTTAGTGCTAATGCTTTCTATCACGCAAGCAATAATCTTTATCCTCACACCCTTATTTCTTATACTTAGGAGAGACCTCTGCCATCTGCCTCTTGTGCTCTCCCTTCTCGACCATGTCCTTGATAGCCTCGTCGGCAACCTTCATGGCCTGAACTCCGGCCGGCGCTCCGCAGTACACAGTAGCCTGAAGAATTGCCTCCTGAATCTCGACTTCGGTGAGTCCATTTCTAATGGCTCCTCGAATATGAATGCCGAACTCAGCCCAGCTCTTCAATGCAATGAGCATTCCGATATCTACAGATTGTTAGCGATAGCTTATACCCGGGTCTCAAGTCACTCACTTAGCAGGCTTCGCTGCTTGCGCTCGAGGCCCGGGCGAGACCAGATGTTTCCCCAAGCCCATCTTTTAAACACGCATCAGCTCAATAAACCTAAGATGACAATTTGGGGCGGCCTCTTACTCGGTGATGAGCTCCTGCTGGGCAAAAGCAAACTCGCTGGAGCCATTTCGCATGGCATTATCGACGTAGCTCTCCCCGACTACCTCACGGCGGTTCTTCAAGCCCTGCTCCCATAACTCGGCACGTAGCTTATCAGTGTTCTCGGACGACATGTTGCTGATTGGTATCTAGTCTGTTTCTGCAATGAGGATGGGCTCACGGTCTGTCGAGAGATGGATTTGTGAGTTGTAGAATAGTTTAATTGAAAATGGGCATGAAATAGGAGAGACGTCTTGTTATTCCGGATTCGGCACAGCCACGTGCTAATTGAGGGGTCATTTGGGACCTTAGCTGGAGAGAGTTTTGGCGTTCCGATCCGCAACCGGGGGAAAAATGTACACCCCGCGTTACCCCGATGTTCCGCACGGAATTGTGGGACTATCCCGATGGTATTCCGAAAAGAATGCAATTAGTTTAAAGTAAACGATTTTATCATGAAATGAAATCTCAATTTGAACTATGTGATATAGTGATATACATTTCAACTTCTGTTGCAGTTGATTGCCCGGTTGTAGTCTGAAATTTATTTCTCTAAAGGCCTCTACTAACCCACTACTTGACGTTGCCCAGAATATCTGATCTCTGTTCTTGAACAAGACTTGAAAGCTAACAACCAACCTTCAATTATAGCTTTCCGTTTCGCTTCTAAATTCCCTACATAATACACTCTGCGGAATTTCAAATGCCTATGTTTTCTCTATTGCTGACACTCGCAGATGCATCATGCAGGATCTTGAGACCATGAGCTAATTGATTGACCGTCCTTCCTTGGATGCTCAGTCAAATGCTGTTCCACAATCCAGTCTTTGATGTGAACTGATATGAGTTCCATACATGCTTGATATCCGAGGTCTCCGAATATCGTACGGTATACAAGCACAACATCAGGGGCAATTTATGAATCGGGCGGTTTATGAGAAGGACATCTAGAGACAGGACTGCAGGGATCTACAGCCTCTAGCATATTATCAACAGACGAAGAATCTTCATCGATCCATTGAGCTTTTCAAACTATCTTTTGTCACGTCCTTGGGTATCGAGAAACGTCGTATGGTCGAGTTGAGCCACCCTGACAGTTGGTACTCGACTGTGGGCTAGCATTGCAGCATCACTCCAGTGGCAGCGCAACTGCAATTTTACTTGTCGTGGCTGAAAATCTTACCATGATGTTTTTAGGTCTGGCTTGAGTGTAAACGCGTATTGTATTTAACGCATGCGGCTGACGACTGCTTCATTCATCTGAATCGCAGCGGCCCACGAGCTTAAGTTGTCTGTTGCCCATTGCTGGCTGCCCTACATGCGGGTTCTCCGGCAAATGATCCGCCGAACCACTCAACCTGATACACCGTCTCTCTATTTTGGTCGTTACGAACCAGCCCGTTGAGCGCATAGGCCAATTCCATCCTGATCCGCGCCTCAGCCTTGGCTATTCCCTGTAAAAGCCCCGTAGATGGAGCCCTCCCTGACTCAGTAAACGAACGTCGGCTCCCACGCGCATCCAGCCAACACGAAACTCCCGATGAGTAAATGTTTTCGTCAGATATCCAACAAGCTGTTCGGCACCCACTTTGCTGGGGATCAACAGGAACTGGACCACTGATTTTGCCTGACAGATAGCGCTAGGCCGGAGACATGACGTTGATTTGGCAGGTAAACCAGGGCATCAATTTCCGGGATCCCTGGTCTCGGTGGACCCGTCTTATCGTCGCTTCGTATTTGACAGCCTCCGCGCATCCCTCGCTGGTTCCGGGGAATTCATTAATCTCCAGTTTAAGCAACAAGGAAGCCCCAAACGATTGAGCTTCAAAAGATCCGGATGTCCGCCCTTGTCGCGTGCGGCTGAAGTCTCTTCTCTTGTAATTTTTTCACCTCTCACCTCATCCGCCGAACACCGCTGCCGCCGTCCGACGTATCCAAGATGGTCTCAAGTCTCTCAGCGGCGCTCGCCCTAGTCTCCACATTGCCATGGGCCTCGGCTGCCTCGGTGGCCACGCGTCAATCTACGGGTGACGGCGAGTGTCGCGACGTCCACGTCTTTCTCGCCCGCGGGAATAACGAGCCATATCCGGGCCGTCAGGGAAAGCTCGTCACAGCCATTTGCGACGGGCTCGATAGCTGCGATTACGAGGACATTCAGTTTTGGAACCCACTGGAGGCGCCATACTGCCAGTCTGTGGAAGAGGGTGCTGCGAACGGCACTGCACAGGTCACCGCGTACAACAAGCGGTGTCCGGACTCGAAGTTGGTGTTGAGTGGGTACTCACAGGGAGGTCATGTCATCGGCGATATCCTGGGTGGTGGAGGTGGCACGTTCTTCCAGGGTTGCCAACAGACCCCGAACGCTGGTCTTGACGCAACGAAGGCTCCTGGAAACAAGAGTGAGTAATGAGTGATAGCACTTTTGGATTTGAGAAACTGACATTTCAACCCCAGTCTCTGCGGTGTTGATCTTTGGTGATGTTCGACACACCGCCAGCCAGCCGTACAACTACGAGTCGGGATCCGGAGCTAACGGCCTCTTCCCCCGTCCGGATGACCAGCTCGCTGGCATGAAGGCCTACGCTGCTTTCTTCCGCTCGTACTGCGTGGAGTCCGACCCGATCTGTGCCGGTGGCGACACGGCCGCCAACCATCTCAACTACTTCGACATCTACTCTGGCAGTGCTGGAAAATGGGTTCAAGAAGTCGTTGGGGCCCAGACGACCAGCTCTTCTACGAAATCATCAGCAACCTCGACCAAAGCCGCATCAACCTCGGCTAGCGCTTCCGCGAGCGCCACGACAGAGATCACCTCCGCTGCACCGACCACGGAAGCTGCATCAACCGGAGGATCTACCCCAGCCCCAACATCCGATAATGCCGCGGCTTCTTCAACCCCTACGGGCGCCAGCGCAGCCGGCGCTTTGGATTACAACAAGATGCTTCTCAGCCTGGCCGTTGTCGCTGGATTGATGATGGCCTGCTAGACGACAACGCAATTATTTATGACCACGATAGATCAACGTCACAACATGGAAGCATTGACCGCTTGTTTTTGAATACCCCGAAGAGACATATCACGAAGGACAAATAATCACACGACATTGAACATAATGAGCACATACTGGCGCAGAAGGATCTTTTGAAAGAAGCATAAATGCCATAATTCTGCTCTGGGGTCATCAAGCCTCACGGCAGCATCCTAGTGCCCAGTTCCTATCCAATCTCGGCATCAGAAAACACGATGGAGGCGTAGGTGGCTTTGTAGAAGAAAAGAAAAACAATCCAAACTTTATCTCAGTCAAACATTCGTTTTCTGACTTTGATGTCGTCGACCTAAAAGCGGTCCGTTCAAGCGACCTACCTCATGAAACTACCTACCTCCGAGCAATATTTACCTGCTAGTCTAGCCCGCGCCCGGACAGAAGAGGCCGATTTATATACCAGCATCTAACATTCCCTGTTTGAACTTCAGAATACGTCGGGCGTCCATCCTTCTCAAAACAATCGACGGAAGCCGACAGAATGACCATCATTGAAAAGGAGACCAATCTGCGAGAGTCGCGGGTACTGCAGAGTATTAGGATTCCGGACGCCAACGCCGAAGAAGACTTACGCGTACTTTATCAGATCTTTGACCCCCGGGAAGAGTCATGCGAAAGCTGCAAGTATTCTGTCTTCGTCGCAGTTGACATCGGCATCTTCGGTGGTGTTCGTATGGACGGTCTTGCAATCTTTAGACACGGCGAAGCTCGGCTCTGCATCCAGCATGGGGCTATTACCTCGCAGCGAGGTTCTTTCGGTTTTGGAATCCTACTAAAACGAGGGATCCTGCATCACACATGAAGAAACTCGTACGTGGCGGATGAGAGTCATTCTCGTCCACAACGGCCTGGGATTGCCAGGCTGGCGGAAGTCCTTGGACCATGGCAAATTCAGTTGTTGTCTCAACACAAGCCAGCTTACTCGCGAGATATTCGGCTCTCTTGGCTCCCTTAGCGAACTTAGACCGCAACTGCCAACTACCACAGGGAACGCTGGGAACAATGCTAACGTCACGCTGAGGCACCTTTTGCATCTGGGAATGGAGATCACTCAAAACAACACTCAGACAAAGAGAATGGAGATGCTTGAGCAGGCAGCGCTGTTTCCCGGAAAACCCCCAGAAAAGTCGCCGACCGAGGCGGCAATGCTCAAGAGAGAACTCGACCAAGGCTTGTTGGCCGAAGAAAGGGAGAGAAAAGCCAAGAAAAGAGCCGAACGCTCAAAGTGCACCCAGAAAATCTTTGAGGAGATGAGAAGGGAGTTGGTCACTCTGCGCAGCGGGGTCGACTAGGTTGGAACCGGCCTGGCTTTACTCCTGGAACAGCATAACATCGGACAGGAACCTCACGACCTCATGTGCAAATGAATAATGAGAACGTTCGAATCGTATTTCAGCCTCCACCTGCCCACAGCTATGTATGCTTAGGACCAACATTGATCCGTCCTCAGCCTTCTGAAGTAATGCTTCTTGCCAGTCAAGCTCTTCAGAAATCTGCATCAAGGTAATTGCTTGTTCTGAGTCGTGACTTACTACTGCAACCCACATCATTCCTGCGGACAGCCGAGGCCCTTGATTTTCAGGAGGTCAAGCTCCGGGCCGAGCTTCTCAATATTGCAGAGTTCATCCTTCTTCCCGTCAAACACAGAATGCAAGGCGGTCCTCACGATGTCAATGGTGAGCTGCCCAGCGCGGTCGCCATCAATAGTACCGAGGAAACCCTGGAGAGCAGCGGTGTAGTCCGGATTCTTCAAAAGTTCTTTGATCGGGGGAAGTTGAGGCGCATCGAGAAACGTCGGGTGCATTGTACCGTTGATCGTGACGATAAGTGCAGGGCCCTGGTGTTTGTCGTACGTTTCATTCCAAGAGGGAACCCCAGGGAAAACTGTCTGGGGCAATACCGGCTGCCCGGCTAGAACAAGGAGCTTGTCGCTACCTTCGGTGGGTACTGGACCGTACATGGCGCCGTCAAAGTTGAGCCCCCCGAGAACACGGTCGTCAGTGAGGATCGTAGCGGCAGAAGTCGCTCCTCCGAGTGAGTGGCCGTAAACAAAGACCTCGTCAGAGTCGATTGACGCCCCCGTGCCAGCCACAAGTTGAGCAGCTACATCGGGGGTTTGCAATTGATCGATGACGAAGGAAAAGTCGGCTCGTCGTGTCTGTGAAATTGAAGTTAGCGTTTGATGGATGCAATAGACGATGAGTTTCCCACCTCGACAAGCGACTCTAAGTAGGCCGGGGCAAGACCTCCTGTCGCGTTGACCACGCCGTAGACTACGCTTCCATCCGGAAATTCGACAACGCCGGTCTCATACGTATGATCCAATGTGAGAACAACATAGCCATAACTAGCAAGAGACCGAGCCAGAACGCCGTACATATGTCTTGAGCCCCCAAGTCCCGGAGAGAACAGCACTACTGGGTACTTCTTCCGTGACGCGTCGCGTCGGGACTTGCAAGCTTCGCCAACCTTGCAGAATGCCATCTCGAGATTGTCGAAGAAGTCGTCGGGAAGAGCGAACCCGAGCGAGGCGGAAAACCCTGCCATTGCCTTGGCGGTGATGGGTGTCATGTAAGGGACCACATCGTCCGAGCAGTTACCCTTCTTCACGGGGATGAATGCTGATGTGGCAACGCGTCGTTTCTCCGGCTTATCCGCCGGTGCCAATGGATCCCATCTTGCTGAATCCTCGAAAGCTTGCACCTTGCGGGCGACCGAATAAGGACCGGGAGGTCCTTGGATGAGGACGGCCGAGGCCACAGAGATGAGTGCTGTAAAGACTGAAAGATGCATGTTTGGTCGACTTGGGATGCAGCGAATAATCAGAAGATTTGGAGACGCGAACGGTATTTCATATTTAAAAAGGAAGACATTTTTCGTATTGGGGCGTAGATGCTGACGGACATTCCTTCGGCTGGGGTTATACGAGCTGTCAGATTCAGTAATTACTGTGAAAGGAAATTGCAAGTATGCTAACGCGGACCGGATCTCGGCGTGGCTGTGAGCAACTAAGCGCGCAATGAAGTTCACAAGGACCGATGAACACCACTCGGGAGCGACGGATCGAATAATCCTAGAAATTCAGACCGTCTATCACTGATTCCAGGCATACAAAATCGCTTCTGGGTGAAGGGATTAGAGCTATGCTGACCACTAGTCCTAGCTCAATTGAGTCCTAGGAGCAACACGAATACAACCATCGTGCCATCGTACCATTTCTTTCCCGAGCTTTCTTCGGCTAATAGTAAGACATCGGTTCAGCAGTAAATTTGACGTCAGCCAAGCAACCTCAGGGCTCAGCTCCCTAGGCAGCACAGCAGCCGAATGGGACTTTTGTACCATCCATTCCTCCCTCCAATGAAGCCAATGAAGGAAGCAACATGGCTTCGCCCTGAGGAGGCTTGCAGATGCGGACCGCCCCGCTTGTAAAACCGAAGACGGAGTCCGGTATTCCCGTCAATTCAGACCGTTGATCTCTGAGAAGATTCAACGAACAGTGGAACTCCGCCCAGGCCGCGGCGTGGCCAGCTACAGACGATGGAGTAGTCTGAGCCAAGAAAGTTTTCGCAGACCTTAAATGGACGTCTTCCCGTACTTTAATATGACGGAAAATCCGAATGGAATCATTGCTGTGAGCGCCAGTCTGAAGTAATTCTACGGAATGGTCAATGCAAGGTATCTGTCACGACTACCAGGTACACTCCCTACACAAACTAAGATGTTTTTCGATTTTTGAAGGTGACGGGCAGTATTATAGATGAAGCAGCCAGAAGAAACGTACGCCGGATTGACCTCCAACGAAGCCGTCTACAGTGATCCTGGACTTCCACTGGCCAACAATGCGACAAAGACTTCCCCCAATGAAGCTGAGCATCTTTAATCACTCAAATCCGTTTGAGCAATCATGTTGCGACCTCCAAAAGAGTGGCGGCAGGGTCTTTTGACTCTATTTCTGAACCGCCAGCATGCAGGACGTGACAGTGGCTGCCTAGGCCAACCGACGCCTGAACCTGGCTGCTACCCTGGCATCAGCCAACAATCTTTCCCCAAGACAGCAGGGTGAGCCCACAACACCATGGAGAAATGCAACCCAGCCTGTTCCTGAGGGGCAGAAATGAACCACAGTCGGTTAGTGCGTTGCATGTCACAGCACTTTAGTTCTGAGCTCACAGGCTTTAGCTTCGATAAGCTCATTTGTGCAAGGGTTTCCAGTGCTTGGCAGTCATTTTTGAAGCGATTGATGTTGACGATTGGCTGGAATCACGTAGGCGCGAGAAGAATTGGCGAGAGCCTGGCCACCCCGGGAGGCAAGAATTTCAGCTATTTCATCTGCCCAATGTCGAATAAGTAGACGATAGCAGTCTCCACAGAGTCAATGCCAGCCTACTCATTCTCCTATTTTCTCGCCGTCAGCCGAACCTTCAGGCGAGGCTTTTAGCCACTAGGACACAAGATGAGGAAACCCGATGCATCATGGTCATTTCCTTTGTCCCTGCGACGCAGCACTTCACCAGACTCCCTCAACCTTACCCGCCACAGCTTAAACCAGCGTGCACCAGAGGATACATCTTACCGGCCAAGAGAAAGCTTCCTCGGCAGCTCGGGGGCTAGCGACTCAACACGAAACTTCAGAGACAGAGAAAGCGGCTCCAAGGACTACAAGCGCGTGTCTACGAACGAGAAAGGATCGGCCGGCGCCAGATTCCCGAAGCACAATGTTTCCACGTGGACCGCTTTGGCAGACGCCGCTGCAGTCATGCTTCCTCTCGGTGTTCTGATCTTCGTCATCTTGGTCTGGAGATTACACGGTACTCGGACCACCGAGGAGACTGACAGAAAGTGGCGGAACGCCATTACTGTGGTAAGTCGATGTTCACGCGCTGAACTTCAACCGCAGTGATCTAACAGATGGATTTCTAGCTTGCTACTATCTTCCCGATTCTCTTTGCAGCTGTTGTTGGAAGATTGATGGCTGAAGCTGCACGATGGAGACTCGAGAAAGGATCCAGTGTCGGCAGCCTGGAACAACTAATGGGAAGCCGTACTGTTGGCGCCACACTGCATACTATGATTGAATTTCGCACAGTCAACCTCCTCGGATTCGGCTTAATCTTTATCTGGGCTTTCTCACCTCTTGGGGGCCAGTCAATCCTGCGAATGCTGTCCTCAAGATTCATACCCGAGTTTTCGACTACGGATCTCACGTATTTTGATACGGGCGCCAACAATCAACTCAATACCTTGCCTGTGGCCAGTACCGCGTCCATAGTAGCGATAGCCAATGCTGGTGTTCTTGGATACTTGGCAACAGTGTATGCCTCATTCGTTGCCCAGCCCGACTCCATTCAGGTCGATACGATGGACCATTGGGGAAACGTCAAGATTCCCTTCCTGGACCAAAATGCGCCCAACAACTGGACAGAAGTGCCCCGCAATTCTCAAGAAGTTCAATACTCATCTTTGGCTGGAATTCCTCTTAAATACTCGACCGTTGGCAACGTAACATTCGCGGTCGAGAGTAGCTACGTCCATCTCGATTGCAACAACATCACGAAGTTTCCGATCAGCTTTCCGCAGGATAACATGACGAACATTACGAGCGGATTTTGGGCCAACAGTCATACATATAGTGACAACATTTTGAAGGCCCCCAATGGGACGTGGCGCGGGGTCAAGAATCACGTCAACAACACACAAAACCTAACGACTTGGGCCATTGCACTTGACCGATTTGTCGACCCATTTTGGGCAGATCAGGAAGTTCAAAATGCTCGTTTGGTTGAAAAGCTCAACACCACCGACGTCCAAGCAGACGTCAGGGACGGGTTGAGACTGTTTGTGAATGAGACGGGCATCGAGGCTGGCGAGGCGAACTTGCTGCTGCAGATCATCATCCCTAGCATCAAGCCTACCCGGACGCCTGAAACCAAACTCGAAGCTGTCTGTGGTGTTACACAGAGGTACGTGGAGTCTCGTGTGAATTGCACGTACGTGCCCGCTTCTGGCCGTCACACCTGCGCGGTAGTTGCACAGCGGCCATCCCAGAAGCTGCACGCTCCTGAGGCCATCTCGATTCTCTCTCTTCCACACCTCTTCTATTACATTTCGAAAGAATTCCCTCTAGCGGCAACAGGCCGGCCCCTTGGGGGGTTTCCCGACTTTTCGATCCAGTACCTGAAGGATCCGACATTTAAAGAGCTTAGCTCGTCGCCGGACGTCAGCCTTGATGATCTCCCTGACGATAAGATCGGGATCCGCCTAAACCAACTTCTCAACACGTATCTGATGCTCAGTCAACAAGAGCTTCAGATTACTAGCAGTACTCTGGGTCAGACGGCAAGTTTTGAACCGAACATCACGATCTCGTCAGAAGTCAGTAACCTAGTCGAAGTGTTCCAAGTGTCGGCCTTGTGGATTGGGTTTTGCCTTGTTTCGTGTCTTATTCTTCTCGCGTGTGGCATTTTAAGCGTCGTATTCACACACTTGGCGCATGGCCCTGAAGTTCTGGGATACGTCTCCACCTTGGTACGTGACTCGAAGTTTATGGACTTGCTCATGAATACCAGCTGGATGGATGGCACGGAGCTCACAAAGGAGCTGAGATCACAGCGTATCAGATACGGATACACGCATCATACTATGGGCGGAGAACCATTGATGGGTGTCGGTTACCAAGCAGATACGGAGCAGATTAAGGATTTCATCGCTCGTCATCAGGATAAGTAGATGACCAAACCTTTCGAATGATTCTTGTCAGGGATCCCTGTTCAATTAACAGAAATTTATCTCTGTAATGTTGTTATGTCGCTCAGGTGTAGCCAGATCACCCGCCGCCTTAACGAGGTATAGGAAACACTTCATTGAGGCTGTCGGTGTTGCATTTGCTCCTGATCTTTGATGGGTTTTCGGCAGGTCACAAGTGAAAACAGCTCGTGAACATTAGTTTCTGAGTTTCTCCCTGCGTTAGTACCGCGTCATTTCATACACACTGAAGAGCCAGCTTTCTTCAGGACATGTGTGTGTGAATATAAGCAGGTTCAGGCAGAGTGTGGCATCAGCTCGTACATCGAAGTCAGATGAGACCCACATGCCTAGCCTGAGATAACACAGCATTCGGATGCGAACCATGTGAAAACGCATGATAGCTGCCGTTCTGTTGGTGGCCTTTCCCCTCTACTCAAAAAGCAGCGAGAGCTTAAGCCTGCTTGGTGGGCCCAATCATGCGACTGATCCCTGATGTCGCCGTCGGCGCTGTATGGCATTTGCGCTCCGACCAGCAGTTCGGGTGGAGGTGCACATCAAATTTGTGCAACTATGATGTGTCGTGTGACCACTGGCAGCTGACCAGTACCCAATTGGTCAAATGGCGGGCTGTAATCAGTCTTTCAGTCTTTATGTGGGCTGATACTAGCTGCAATTGAGGAGATTTCTTTTCATCACAAGTGTGCACGGATCCGCGACTCTATCCTATTCGTTCCTGCGGAGATGCCGGGTCTCGTTCTTGCCGCACCGGGTAGACCATTTCGGCGCTGGCCGTCTGCGCGTCAGGAACTCACGTCTGACTATCAATCACTCATAAGACAAGTTTAAATGAGGCCCAGAACCCTGTATATATAGTTGAAACTAGGTTATGCATGTTGGAACTCGATCTCGCTCTCGGTTCAGAGCTCTGAACAACATGACTAGCCGCTTATCTCGACTTTGTGAAGGGAAGAAATGCCATGCATTACTTTCTTCCGGAAAAAACAATGAAGCCTCAAATTCGTAAACTACCCGAATGCAACGCGGTTGTGGACACTTGATTGATGTAGGGCTGGAACTACGACGGTCCATCGCAGGCGATAGGCAGTCAATCTTTGCGAGCGAAGCGAGCGGGGGAATCCCCTGGGTGGACATTTGGGGTTGTATATGCGTTGCCGCTTAGGCGAGTGTTACGTGTTAGAGACAGGGAGACCGAGTCGGGAGATGATCGCACGAACCCTCAGCCAGGTGGCTATGGTTGTGGGGAAGGGGTTCACAGAGAAGGATCAGCCCTGGACTGCGCAAGTCCATCATCGCCCAATGTGCAGTGGCTGCTACTGCAGTAAGAATGGGAATATCATCTCGTTCAGCTCGTTGCTTTGTGCGCATGACTTAGCAGCTCCCAGATGGGAATGTATTCGGCGGGTGCGTCCCGAATCTGAGCTATATCGACATGACTTGAGACTTCATCACATTCGCGCCTTGTCCCCTAAGTAGTTACCATTCTCCCTTGGAGCACTCTACTAGGTTTACTTACAGTTGCTGTAGATATGGCAACATTTGTTGGGTATGCTTAAGCCTTATCTTCGGTTTCACTCCCTTCCCTCTAAGCTCCCCTTGAAGGATGATCCCTGTAGAAACTTCGGGGTTGCCGGTGGGAGCTTCTCGTTGGTTGGTCGTTAGCCATGTTCAACAATAACAGCATGGTATATAGCGAATGATGATAGTGTTCATCTCATGTGGTGGTATTATCCGCATAGTGAATGTTGCGTGTGAGTCAGGGCGCAGGTCAGCGTCTCTGTCTTTATGTCCGCCTAGAATGAGGTGCGTTGCGCGTGAGTCAGGGCACCTGTCAGCCTCTATCTTATGTCCGACTAAGGTAGAATGAGGACTAACTCCTGACTGCTGGTTCTACTTTATCATGGCTCTTGAACTCTTAGCCGCCTCCTGCGGTGCATATTATTTAACGTAACAGCTTTTGCTGACGTCCGTCTGTCCGACGATCCTTTCTCAGTCACTTTCTAATCCAATTGACATATGACTTACTACAATCGATCAATCATAACGAATTCAAAAAAAAAAAAAAACCGGCAATTTGACTCTCGCAACCGTTATTTCCAGCGCCTTCTTACGATGCCGACATCACCACTTCCCCGACTCCTCCTAATGGGCCTCTTCGTCGTCCATGCGATGGCTGGTAACTGCTGCTGGAGAGACAGCTGGGGAAACAGCTTGCAAGACACCGGATACGGCAATAGGAACTACAACTATGATACGCTATGGCTCACATGGGACGAGCCTGCACAGATCGTTCGATGTGGTCTCTCTGGCAACTTTCAGCCCGGAACGAAGTGCTCCTCTGCAACCTTCAAGGACGAAAACGGCAACCTTCAAGCATTAACGAACATCACCTTTGGCAGCGACCCTCAGCCCTTCCAGTTCCGCATAGGTATTAATCCAGGGAGCTGCGACCCTTTGCCAAACGAGAAGGTCGTCACCGGCTGGGAAGGCTGGGGAGTGTTCATGTGGGAGGGCCATGAATTTGCCACAGAGCCGCTGGGACTCTGCAATACGGACCATTCGGCGTGAGCCCGGCATGGCTTCTTTTCTACATACGTTGGACTGCAGTACACGGCATGCGGGGTTATATCCGAACAACACGAATATCGATCGACGTTTGTTTCCTAGCTAATAGCGAATTTTGTACTCGGAAAATACCAAAATCTTTTGCTGATCTTGAGTACTGGAATACACTCGCATGGTTTGAACTCAAAGCGCCGCTCGAACTGATCAGTCGCGCTCTCGACGCACGCGTGTTGGCGATCGGCGAAGAGACCGCTACGCTTCCGTACCCGATTGTGGTACTGGGTCGTCGCAGTGTCAAAGATCTATCACCATGGCTCCGTCACTCTTTCAGGGGTTCCATATAAAGAAGCCCCGCAAGTACCACGCCAATCTTCAAGATCGTGGGATAGATGTTGATGCTCACGCGAGCTTATCCGAACCTAAGGTACGCAACCACAAACAGTAGACTCTCTCATTTCCGCACAGGTCCGCAGAACTCCGCTCATCGACCCAATAAATCTTCAGATCCATGATCGGTGGATCTTCAAGTAAAAGCCCAATATCCATGCATAACAAAGCGTTCAATTCCACGAATTCGGCGTGATGTGAGGTACTAGTAGGGCCATTCAGATCACATGCAGAAGCAAATTTATCAGTGAGCAGAATGATTGCGGAGCTGAGGGATTCAGTCTTTTAGTGTTTAGACCTCCGACGAGTAGAACTTCAGAGTTTATTACCCCGCCACGGGCTACCAGGAACACTATATTTCAAACGTATTTTAAAGTATTAGCAATTTAGTGAGTGATAAAGTGAGCAAATTCTGTTCAGGCAATATGATGCCCCGCCCCCAGTGGTCCGTTTCGCTATGAGAAATCATTTCTCATGGCGTTCTTGACCGTAGCTCCTGCAAGCACCATTAAAAAGGCCAAATACGTCTGTCTCATTATCTACCCCCTATCTTAGAGGTTTCGTGGCTGATAGACGTGCGTCCAGGACCTTGTTCTCAGGTATAGGTATACCAGACTGCTGGGTCCCTTCCTTGGCCGAAGAGACCAAGTCACTTTCTTGTTGCCCATCTGTCTCCTCGTCAGATGGACTGGTGTCTTGTCTCTTATCTCTCTTCAGATAATAGTGCATAATCCACGTGAATAGGATCAACGCGATAGCGCACCCAAGGCAGAAAGAGAATCCCTTTCTGTATCTTGGAGACTCGACCGTCGGAAATGTTAACAAGGGCGTCCATGCCGTTGAACTCTGAGACAACAGATTGATGAGCACCAAGGTGAAGCTTCGCTCCTCGGGACTGTCTCGCAGTAGATTGTTGACCCACCCGTGGAAGACGGACGACAGGGCGTTAGACCAATACATAGTTGCGAACCCAAACCACAAGCCTGCTTCAGGAACTGTCCATATAGTCAACAAGACTAGTCCCACAGCGTTCAAAAAGGAGCAGATAGTGATGGCCCATGCTGGTCCGAGGAAGAGGTCCGAGGCGAAACAGGCGATAAGCGTGTAGGCAATACCCAACGCTGGCGAAATAGTGCCGAGCTCGTTAACCTTTGCTGCACTGTATCGACCGAGACTTTTGATCCAGAGGAGATAAGATCCAGTGTTCTTGTGGATACCGGCGTTCCAGAAAAGAACGTCTGTCGTGATAACCAGCCAGAAACGGAACCCCAAAAGGGTGCGCTTGATATGACCAAATTTCATCTTGCCGTGTAGCACATGCCCGTGTTTCTCGAGGCGCTCTCGAGCAACTCGAAGATCATTGTCGTTGACGCACCATTTATTGGGCTGATCGACCGTTCCTGGGATGACGAAGTAGCCCAAGATGCCTACAGGAATTGTGATTAAGGCACAGATGATGTACATCCAGCGCCATCCTTCCATGCCTGTATACCGAAGTCAATAACCTGATTCAAGTGGTTCTAAGTTTCTTCAACGTTGTCTCACCGCGAACTCCCTCCAAAGAAGTCGATGCGCCCGCTTGGATCAAGCCTGCAGTCAGAGTGCCGGCAGCTAAGCCTGTGTAGAAAATGCCACCACGGCGAGCAATCTCGTGGCCTCTATACCAAGAGCCTGACTTCAAATTAGCAGCCATATGGCCGAGTAATGGTCAAGACATACCGAAAACGTAGTGCATAGCGGGGAAGAAGGCGGCTTCAAACCAGCCTACCATGAAACGATACGCCGCCAACTCTGCGTAGGAGTTGACGCGATACTGAAGAAGAGTGAACACTCCCCACAGGACGTCGCAGATCGGCACCAGATACTGTATAGGAACATATGTCATGATGAATCTGCAGACCCTATCAGCGCTGATAACAGAATATTCACCTCCTCAAAAGGGCTTACAAAAAGGGGATTTGTCCAAGCACTGAGCCAAGGGTAAAAAGGGTTTGAAGTTGTACGAGCTCGTTTCCGTAGAACCCAAGGTCTTCTTTCATACCAGCCACATAGGCATTGTTCAAGTTAGACTGGTCGATGTACTTGACCCAATACCCTAGGACAGAGTACGGGACCAGGAACATGTCGATTTTGGTGATGAGACGGCGCTCCTCCGGGGTGTCGTCGTCAGAAAACCATTTGATTTTCCACCATTTGTCCCGCGGGACGGACTCTTTCAAAGCCGATGCCATGATGGTCTGACAGCTTTGGGTGAAGTACTCGAAATCACTTGGTTGACCAAGCCAAAAGTAAGCGGACGCTCGTGCTTGTGATATATCTTTCATTTTGGACCCGTCTGGGCCAATCTTATCTTCTTCAAAATTTCACATGAGCCATTGCGCAATAGAATCCAAGAGAATTGCAATCTTTCTGATGCACCACAAGCTTCTGAAGTTTGAGGAACGAACTGGTGAAAAGTGGAGGCACAAGACGCGAAGGAAGAAATGGCCAGGGTGGAAGTGAAGAAACGGCGATAACAGCATGCGATATCGGTAACTAGATCCAACGTGATTACATCCAATGCTACGATGGGTCGTTTACATTGAGTAGCGAAGACGGTCACAGGGCGATCGCGGGATGATGTGCTGCAACCCCACTATGATGATAGACGCAACCTTGCTTCGACAGTCTTGGCTCGCTTTATTGCACTGGAACTTTGCACAAAAGGCTGGCTGGCTCATCAAGAACCTTCAATGGCGGGTTGATTTACTCTCTTTGTTTCACGTGAGATTTTCCCCAAAGACATGTTTCTCTATTATGTTTGCCCTAATTTAAGCTGGATCCAGCTAACATTTCGTTGAAAAGCAAACCACACAGTATGTACTTATCATCTGAAATCAGAATCACTCATATGACGATAGAATTCTTTATGCATGAGAAAATATAGGCCATCGCATTTTGTTGATTCAACACGCTCAGGGAAATATATCTAAGTACTGCCCAAACCGATTCTCGAGAATTCCCGACCGGATGAGTTGCCTTTCTGACACAAAGGGACGTTCAAACATAGGCTCAAACTCGTCCATCTGCATTCCAAAACCATTTTGCACAATGGGCTTCGCCGGACCCTCGCCCGGCCGGCCTCCTGTTATTATCGCTCGCCATCGAACATACGGGTTCCCGCCTTCGTTGTAAAGAAACTCCTGCAATTCATTCTCTAGCCAGATTGCGCGCCCGACCAGAACACGATCTATCCAATCTCGAATGAGCAACTGAGGTCTTATAGCACGCCCCTGCCAGCCCAGATCATCACGGATATGAAAGAGCAGCTCTCTATAGTCACCATTATTCCTCATGAACATCAGAAAGCTCAATTCTACCGAGCGCAGAGTCTGCGGTAGTACAGCGAGAAAGTCGAGTAGGTCCTGCTGCTTAACGAGGAAGCGCGATAGCCCAAAGTGCACTAGGTTCTTCCATACCTCTACAGGGAAGATAGATCGTAGGGGAATGAAGTGATCCCTCGTACCATTCAGGGGCTGTGGCTCCTGTCCGAGGCTTCCGTCCTCGTCGGTCTCTAGTATGAAGTGTTTTAAGTCGGCCTCTAACATCTGCTTTAGGCGTCCGTTACGGAAGGCGAGGTATCCGCCCCGTAGATCATGAGGTTAAGCCTGAGCGTGGTGAAGCCCGGCTTCTTGATCACGGCGGCGAGGTGGTTGTACTCGACGCATGGCTCTGGTGTGTGAAGGATGCCGCACGTGAGCCCCGAATGGATTTGATTACCGTCGAAAATCAGCTCGGTGATCTTTGAGGTCGCGCTCCGCTGCTGGGCGACGATGCGGATGACATGGCGGGATCCGCGCCATTTATCCTTCTCCTTCTCGCGCTCCCACATCTCGTAGCCGGCTCCTTCCTCGTCCTTAGAAGCTGGCCAGCTGCGAGGGAGCGGGTAATTGAAGCCGTACGGAAAAGCGCGGATAGCTGGGGTCGGGTATAGCGGCTTGGATAGAAAACCGTGCGCGGCGGGAGTTAGAGTGATCCTATTTAGATAGGGGAATCTATCCTTCTCTAGCGCCCATTCGAAAGCAGCTATATCAGCTGATGTAGAAAGTCCTTGTTCTTGCTGCTTAAGTAGCTCTTGGTAGTAGGCGTAGGCGACGTTAAGAGGTAGCAGGGCGTTAAGCTGCCGAAAGGTCTTAACGTGCTGCGGTAAGGTTTTAACGTCGTTATCTCGTCTTTCCTCTAAGTACTCGATGTTCTCCTTGCAGCGTATAAAGTACCATATCGGAACACTACGTGGGATCTTTTTTGGTCCATCATCATCATCTTCTTCTTCAAGGTCGTCTGGATATTCATCCGCGTACACGCATTCATCGTTGTACTCGCCCTCGAACGTTACGAAGTCGGGCGGTGGCTTCTCATAACGAGCATCGTCCCAGACGATCTCGCGGACGTTGCGGCGGAAGATATCGTGTTCTGCGATAGCGCGAAAGACTTGCACATCCAGGGGACTAGCGGATATGAAGACGCGCTTGAAACGGAGATGGGGACTGATGAGGTGGGCGAGCCTCTTGCAAGTTAACCGCAGAGCTTTGAGATGGCAGTTGTCGAGGGGGGCGAAGACGAGGGCGCATATTTCGAAGGGCGCGGTAGCGATGAAGTCGATGACAGAAGCTTGCCCCGTAGACGAATCGGAGCGGGATCGAGGTGTCGCCATAGCAGGCGTTTAGAAAGACGAAGAGAAGAGGTAAGCAGACGAGATGCCGTATTGAACGAGGGTGGAATGAGTGGCGTTGTCTGCCTGCTCGTTGGTCGGCTGGCCTCAAGAGATTTGGCAATTAGGGGCCTGAGGTTTAAAGTACGGAATCCGGTCACAGTTCGTTGCTCGCGTATCCGTAAGCAGTGTGTTTGTTGGAGCTTTTCTACATGGATTCCAAGCCAAGTCGCACTAGAGTACTCCGGCACTCCACCGCGACCGTATTGGGGTGTTTGCTTCGGCCCCTGGCAGGTGCAGTGGAGTCCGCTGCTTAACTGCTGATCGACCGTTCTTGGGATGACGAAGTAACCCAGGATGCTAAAACCAGTCCAGATAATCTTTAGGAAACCAGACAGTATGTGCTCATCGCTTAAAGTCGGACTCACCTTCACCAGCTTGTCGGCTTTTATGGACCTAATAATTGAAAGGATTCGTTTGTATGTAACCTGCAAGCCTGCTCATATGATAATCAACAGTCTAATCTAATGCGACGTCCGCCTTGGATGCCGAAAAGATGCACATATTGCAGCCGCAGCCGCGACGCTTCGTCAAAATTCTGTCGCACGACTGACCAGGTTGAATCGTACTTGCTCATCGGAAGAAGAACACTCGGAAAAGTTGCTCTTCTGCGATGATTTGGGTCGCAGCTGAAACTATCGTCTCATTATCGAGTAACAAGGAGTTGACCAGGGCAGGCTTTGAAACTGACGTCGCTTACCCCAACCTAGCCCGCAACTTGCAGGATACGGATGACTTAAGTCTCTCAAGGCTTGACTTCATCTGCATCACTGTCTTGTCCTTCGAATTAGAAATTGACGATGACTGTCTCTCACGAATCTGTCAGGTCGATCCAGTCTCGGCGTGTAGGTAGCAGCAAGTCTTGTCGCAGTTCGGAGAATTCGCGAAACGCATCGTCCTCGCATTTCGAGATTCGCGGCAGAAGCGCCCCTGTAGAGTCGATCCTGAACTGAGTCTCGTACCCGCTGATTGGGTGGACTCTCGGGTTTCGCATCATTCCCTTCGTCTTGACTCGGCTTGAATTGCCCTTTTCTCAATTGCTATTAAAGACGGATGATATAAACCGTCTCATGTTGCCGTTCGTCTGATGTCGGCTTTTCCTCGCTCCTATAATTCCAGCACGCCTTCTTCTAATACAACTTCGTTCTCTTCGTTAAAGTTGAGCTGTTTGATACAGTTATTCAGTCCATCGACATGCGCCTCACCGTCTTCGCCATTGCGCTTGCGAGCCTCGCCAGAGTGGCGACTGCTGGAGTTGCCGTGGCACCTCGATCGGACATCTCTCTTTTCACCCGAGTTCCCCAGGCGCCCGCGCCTGCCAAAGGCACTTCTACCAAGGTCGCGACGACACCCGAGACCTCAGACCCGCATGACAACTTCGACCCCAAAGTGATCATTGGAGGAACAGTTCAGTGCTTAGCTGCAACGTATGTTTACACCGTGCATATGGTAAAACTCTTCATCTCTAATGCATCTCATTACAGTGCTCCGTCGAAGAACGATCAGCTCATCGCAGAGCTCTCTATTTGCGGAGGTATCAAGGCACCCATCAACAACTGCCCAGGCACGGAACAGAAATCGACCGGAACGTCAGGCAAGGCTCTGTGGACTCTGGAGGCTGCTGCTGGGGAGAAGATCAACATCTTCAAGGGCAGATGGGAAGAGTGCTGCAATGCTGGTCGAGCCACATGTAAGGGAAAAGCATTCTCATTGCAGTGCGAGAACGGCACGGATGCTGGCAACCCGGTCACCATCACGCTTTCAAGTGTATAGTACAGGCTTCGAGAGAAGAAGAGATATGGGAACAGCCCTTGCAATCCGTATCATAGTTGAACCAAAATTAGAGGAAGCCTTGTTGTAGAAGAATCCTTGAAATCCAAACTAAGTCATATGTGAATCAAAGCTCCTGGGCAGGTTGACCTAGTGTGGTGGGCAGAAGCTCGAACATGGAGCTTTTGAGACGGTCCACAAAGATACTTCATTTGTCCTATCCTGGAATGTATTTCGTTAAATATTGGATCGAAATAAAGCTTGAACAGACTTCCGAGCTAATTAGGTACCGTAAAAGGTGACAACATCCACAGACGAAGGCCGAAAGCCGCTTGGCAGGTTCGTCTGATGATATCGCGTCACAGAATCGCAACATGCAGGGTCCGCACACTCAATTCGCCTGGACACCAACTGACTGCAGCCTCAAACACACAAAACGAGAACGAAGTGTTTGAAACAGGAGCTTTGAGTGTATCGCTTCACCTATCAGAGCCTGAGCGTGCGAGAAGACCTTGAGAAGGTCTTTCCAGTAATAACGTCCGTGGCCCTATCATGCCACTTGGCATAGGTACGAAACATACCATTGATCGGGAACGTGTCCATGACCGTGTAGGTAGCGCTCTATGAAACAAAGCTTTGTCGATTCAGGATGACACTTGTGAAGGGGTAGCTACGGCAGGTCACTGAGGCTACTGCTCTTAGCCACTGGTTAAGAGATCTGCGAGCTCCAGTGATGGCTCCGACGTCCAGTGCGTTGTGCGAGCATGTAGCATTATGACACAGTTGGAAGCAAAATAGCGGCTTATTATGATCGAAAAGAGCACGACGTTGAGTGGGAAAGATTATTACAATCCAAGACATAAGTACATTGCCCTATTTGCAAACTTGATAGGCTACATCGGGAATCTCATAACAGAGAGCAAGACACCTATCATCATCATGCCCCGCACTTAAGCAACTTTTTTAATTTATCGTGACACGTCAATCTAGAGACGGCTTGGGAGGTTCGAGCCCTTCTTGACGTCGAAGCGGTCCAAGTTCATGACCTTGTCCCAGACCTTGACGAAGTCCTGCACGAACTTCTGGCCACCGTCGGCCTGGCCGTAGATCTCGGCGACGGCGCGGAGCTCAGCCTGAGAGCCGAAGACCAAGTCAACACGGCTGGCAGTCCACTTCTTGGAGCCGCTCTTGCGGTCACTGCCCTCGAAGACGTCGGGGTCGCTGGTGGCCTTCCAGACGGTGCCCATGTCCAGGAGGTTGACGAAGAAGTCGTTCGTCAGAGCACCGGGACGGCTAGTGAAGACACCGTGCTTGGAGCCGTCATAGTTGGTGTTCAAAACACGGAGACCTCCGACCAGAGCGGTGAGCTCAGGAGCAGTCAGAGTGAGGAGGTTGGCGCGGTCAACCAAGAAGTTCTCGGTCTTGACGCGGCGTGTTGACTTGCCGTAGTTGCGGAAACCATCGGCAATAGGCTCGAGGTGGCCAACAGACTCAACGTCGGTCTGTTCCTGTGACGCGTCGGCACGGCCAGGGGTGAATGGAACGGTGATGTTGTGTCCCGCGTTCTGGGCGGCTTGTTCAACACCGGCAACACCACCAAGGACGATCAAATCGGCCAGAGACACCTTCTTGCCACCAGAGGCGGAGCTGTTGAACTTTTGCTGGACCTTCTCGAGGGCGGAGAGAACCTCCTTAAGCTGGCCAGGGTTGTTGACCTTCCAGTCCTTCTGGGGAGCCAAGCGAATGCGAGCTCCGTTGGCACCACCACGCTTATCACTCCCACGGAAGGTGGATGCGGAAGCGAAGGCGGTAGAGATGAGCTTAGAGCCGTCGATACCAGTGGCAAGGATCTCCTTCTTGAGGGCTCCGACATCCTGGTCGTTGATGACGGCGTGGTTGACCTCAGGGATGGGGTCTTGCCAGATGAACTCCTCGGTGGGAACCTCAGGGCCGACGTAGCGGGAACGGGGACCCATGTCACGGTGGGTGAGCTTGAACCAGGCCTTGGCGAAGGCATCGGCGAACTGGTCGGGGTTGTCGAGGAAGCGACGAGAAATCTTCTCATACTCGGGGTCGAAGCGCATGGACAAATCAGTAGTCAACATGGTGGGGAGGTGCTTCTTGTTGGGGTCGTAGGCATCGGGAATGATGGGCTCGGCGTTCTTTGCCACCCACTGGTTCGCGCCCGCGGGACTCTTGGTGAGCTCCCAGTCGAACTTGAACAGGTACTCGAGGTACTTGTTGCTCCACTTGGTGGGAGTGGCAGTCCAGGTGACCTCAAGACCAGAGGTGATGGTGTCAGGGCCCTTGCCGGAGCCGTGCTTGTTCACCCAGCCGAGGCCTTGCTGCTCAATGGGAGCGCCTTCGGGCTCAGCGGCGACGTTGCTGTCTGGGGCTGCGCCGTGGGTCTTGCCGAATGAGTGACCACCAGCAATGAGAGCAACGGTCTCCTCGTCGTTCATGGCCATACGACCGAACGTGACACGGATATCTCTTGCGGCAGCAACGGGATCGGGGTTGCCATCGGGACCCTCAGGGTTCACGTAGATAAGACCCATGTGGGCAGCACCCAAGGGCGCCTCAAGCTCGCGAGTGTGGATGTCCGACTTGGTGTCCTGAGATCCGTCGACGACACCAGGGCCGTCCTTGCCCTCATGGCCGTGGGCATAGCGGATATCGTTACCCAGCCATGTGTTCTCACCACCCCAGTAGACAGACTCATCGGCCTCCCAGGTGTCAGGGCGACCACCGGAGAATCCAGCAGTCTTGAAGCCCATCGACTCGAGGGCAACGTTACCGGCCAAGATCATGAGATCGGCCCATGAGATCTTGTTGCCATACTTTTGCTTAATAGGCCACAGTAGGCGGCGAGCCTTGTCGAGACTGACGTTGTCTGGCCAGCTGTTAAGAGGAGCAAATCGCTGCTGGCCCTGTACGACGAAGTTCGGTTAGCAACTTGATCTGACGCGGGGATTCGGAGCGGACTCCGGGTGTGACTTGCCTCGCCACCACCTCCACGACCGTCCTGGACACGGTATGTTCCTGCGCTGTGCCACGCCATACGAATGAACAGACCTCCGTAGTGACCGAAGTCAGCTGGCCACCAGTCCTGAGAGTCGGTCATCAGAGCTGTGAGGTCCTTCTTGACGCCCTCGTAATCGAGGGTCTTGAACGCAGCAACATAGTCGAACTCCTGGCCCAACGGGTTGGTGACGGGAGTGTGCTGGCGGAGAATGTTGAGCTTTAAGGCGTCGGGCCACCAGTCGCGGTTCTTGGTGCCACCTCCGCCGGTGTTCATCAGGCGGGTGGCTGGACACTTGCTCTCGGCCATGATTGCTGATTATTCTCTTGTAAGATCTTCTGTGGTATCAATGGTGTTTTCTGTTTTGCGTCTTCAATTGATGGAAGAAAGACAAAAGCAGGGAGGAAAAAAGAAAGTCGATCACCCTTCAGAAGCGCGGAAAAGGGACGAGAACCCCGCGTTTTATGGCTAAGGGTCATGGCGACGCCCCCCGACCCCTCATCCAGTTGCATGACCAATAGCCAGAATCTTGTTGGCGGTTGGGCGGGATGGACCAGAGCCGAGTACATAGTGAATACCACTGTGCGCTCACATCTATTTCCCAATTATCTTGCACTAACGCGTGACAGCAGCCATCCATTCCAGACTCGATTCTAGTGCGGGTGGGGGCGAGGGACGTGGGAGGGCAGCTTGGGAGGCAGCTCGGGCCTGGTATGACAAATGGTGGGAGCTAGGAAAGCCACGGGATGGCGATATTCTCAGGGTCCTTGTGTTCGAGATGATCTAGATCAATCGCGGCAAGCCCGTTGCGGTCAATCCGCAAGGCCTTCCATTTGTTCTCTCCTTCCATGGACGTTCACCTCGAGGCGAGAGGCAACAAAACGATTGTCCCTTTGTTATCCATCTGTTAAGAGCCAGCTAGGGCGTGCTCTGGTTGCTATGACGCGCACATTGGGATGATTTAGAGCTCGCTCTAGCAGATTTCGGAGGCATTGCCACACTGGGCCGTTAGCCTCACAGTCCCAATAAGATGCAACAGTACCGTGAACTTGCGTGACCAGCTTGGAACAGTAGCTTGGGCCGAGTCAAAATGCCGTGCGGGGAGGACCCATCGAGAGAGCCTGTGAGCCTGGGGAAAGGGAATGTGCAGCAGATCGACACACCATCTTTTGTCCAATCGAAACGAACATGATAAGCAGAAACCATGTGGAATAGTTAAACAGTGACATTGAGTTGCAGCAGGGTGGAGGTACCTCTGGGTCCCTCTGCCCCGTCTGTCCACATTCCGTTCGCTCCGAGCCGGCTGCCCCAGCCTGTCCACTTCTGCTATTACTCCATGTTGTGTTCTGTTGAAATACGCTGTGTGTGAATGGCTGTTGTCTTTAAACTAACCCCGCAGTATGCTCACTTTTCACTAACCTCAGGTGGTTTCTCTGCAGTGAAGAAAAATGAAGCATGCAGCAAACTGTTCATATTCGCCGAACCGAACCGCCCGCGCGACCCCTCTCTACTTGCTATATATACCGGGCTGCATGAGAAAGCGACCGGGGGTAAGCTTCTCGAGAACCTCGGCGACGTCACTCAACCCCACTTTGTTTCCTCGGTGCCGCGTCGACGCCAGACACTGGTTCTCTGATTACCAACGCTAGCTCCCAAACCAGGGTAGTCTGCGACAGAGATGGTACTCGATAGAAGGCCTCTGAAGCTAAGACCGCCGATGACCGGCGGACTTTTGATGGTGTACGGGGATTATCACAGGCGAATGGGATGTCGATATCCCAAGATATCAAATCTTCATCACACACATCGACAGCAACCTCTACGGCCCCCTTCGAGGAAAGCGAAAAGAAAACGGCCAGCTCGCATTGGACATTGGGCTTATGCGATGTCGAACCTTCTTCGATTTTGATGGCTGCTGACCACTGCTGCGCCCAAGCTTCTTCCTCTCCCCCGCAACGCTTGGCAACTCCGGGATTCGTGCGAAACATCCCCGACTCGCGTTTTTGTTTTTTGCCATCCGCTCAATTCGCCGATTGACCGGCATCGCACAGTCGCTGGACCCCACCGGTCAGTCGTTCGCAATCGTTGATATCATAGACTCTGAAAGGCGGAGCATTGAGAGCCCAGAACACCGTTGGATGGATCCGTAGACCGTAGTCACATGCTAGCAAAGCCCCTGTATCCTGGCAGCGATGGGCCGCAACCAATGGACTTTTTCTTCAACGTCAACCGTACGCTTGGAACTTGAAGTCTGGGCGACGACGCTTTGGAGGCTAATGGGGCTAACTGAATCCACACAGTCTTCATGGTTTCGGAGAATAATTGGCTGGAGTAAGCTTTGAGTTCCACGTGGGTTGAACACGGGAAGACGGTGTGCAAAGCCGACTGGGAATTCAGTCCCTACGTGTGCAACCCAATTGTGGCAACTCCAGGTGGATGAACCAATTACTCACAGGATAGTATGTTGAAATGTTCTTGTTACTATTGGAGTAAGTTTAATACCGTTTCGTTTCGACTGCCTTCTACCCTATCTAAGAGTACTGCTCCAGCCGCTGCTCAATATTTTGTCTCGTCTTAAGCTGTGGCGACCAATTAAATGTCGCGCATGATATCTTGCGCTTCGCAGCCTTCCCGACGGGATCATGTAGCTGAAGTCTTATCATAGTTCAGCAGGCGGCTGTTTTAAGTAGGCTGTTGTCGATGCATGTATCGTCAAGTCACCCGTAGTAGTTCGTGCTACTCCTCCTTCTAACATTGACACCTTCTGGGTGAAACATGACGTGCAAGGAAGAGCTGTTCACTGGTTGCGCTAAGTCCAGTTGTGTGGCTGGTAGGAATTCAGCCGTAGATCTAATGCTCCGAAGGAAATCTCCAGCCGCGGCCCGCGGGTGTGACTGCCCCATCAAACGAGATATTTCCCGATTCCTCCTAGACCAGGACAAAGATAGTGTTGCAGGAATCGTCAAAGTTACGGGTCGGTATCCTTTATTCGAGCCTATGAAGCAGGATTCGCATATCACGAACATTATCAAGCAAGTTACTTGCTTCGTATATGTTGTGCTTCGTATATGTTGTGGAGCAACTTCAATCTCACGTCAATCCTCTTACGGGGCCATAGATCTGCGAATGCTTCAACTACTCCATATTTTCGCTAGCCTAATAAATAATGCTGATTACGTCTGAATTGCGAGGAACACGTCCCAGGGGGTTACGATAGCACCGCTGCCACATCGTTTTATGATCTGCCTTCAGTGAACCCACGATGTAGCCTTCAGAAAAGTGACGTATATTTCCCGTAGCCACTGGAAGCCACAAGAACAACTTTTGGATGGACTCAAATGGAATGTCGAAGAGTCGAGAAGCAAAATGATGTCTCGGAATTTGCAAAGCGGATGACAAAACCAACCATCACATGGATTTTCCTATCAGTCCACCACTTTCCTAAGATACAGTTAGTGATACCTCAATTCAACAGGAACCATCATCGTGTTACCCCTTCCCGCCTGCGGCGTTTGTGCTTTCGCCATAATATTGTACCGGCCATACCTAACAGTGATGCCGAAGCTGTCAAGATTAGCACACTCTCCGAGAATCCCATGTTGGACGGGTCGCACCTATGCCTCCCAGCACTCCGATTACCACTACTCCTGCCCCCGTGGTGAAGGAAACACCATTGTTGGCCGGTAAAGCGGATGGCTGCGGTGTTGTGTCGGCAGCCTCACTGGGAAGTGGGATTGTAGAGGATGTATGTGATGTAGAGGAGAACGTAGGCACCACCGCAGGCGCAGTGACGGTGACTGTTTGAGGAGGCTGAGTGACGAAGACTGTGTTTGTTGGGCTAAGGCTAGCCTGACTGAGACTGCTGCTAAAGTTTGGTCCTAATAGAGTTAGGCTTTAAGCTATCTATAGATATCTATATAGGTATATACCTATATAGTCTATAAGTATAGAAGGGTACCTAAGTAGGTATTAGGTAGGTATAAGTAATAAGTAAAACTTTCTTATTTAGGTATTAAGTATATAAATAAAGTAGAAATTATAATTTAGGTTCTAAGTAATAGTTTATTTTATAAATATAATATACTAAGAGAGGTTTAGAAAAGAGTTAAAGTCTAAATTAAAATATTAAAACTATATAAGAAATAAATTATATTATTATAGTATATTACTAATTTCTAATAATAAGAAATTACTATAATTTATTTTTTCTATAGTTTTTTAGTTACTTAATTACTTTTTTATTCTCTAACTATTTCTCTAATTTAATAATAGTAGAAAGCTTTTAAGAGCTTATAAACCTTATTATAATATTTATAAGCTAAATAATAATATCTAAGAAGTTTAGTTTAGTTTATCTATAAAGTTTAAGATTTAGTTAGATAGTTTAATAAGTTTTATATTTAAAGATTTTAATTCTACTAAGTTTTAAGTATTATTATTATTACTTAAAATATTAATAATATCTTAAGTATACTTAATAATAAGTTTATAGATAATAAAGTAGGAATCCTTAATATTAAGAACTTTATATTAGAATATTTAATAGATTAATATATTTTAGTTTTTATTTAGTTTATAGAATATAAAGTTTTTTAAAATAAAAAGCTTTAGATAAGAGAATAAAAGCTAATCCTAATATTTATTATAAATTATAAAAAAGAGTTAATAGAAAATTATTTTAGGTTTTATATTAAAGTATATATAGTAATAGATATATTAGCTAAAGTTAAATACTTATTTAAGGGGGATAGAACTTAAGATAATATAAAGATAGTTATAAGCTATATTATAGAGATTATAGTATTTTATTTTTTAGTCTAATGTTTTCTAGAAGTTTTAGATTAATTACTTAGTAGAATAGCTTTATATAGATTTAGTTATATTTTTAGAAAGAAGGATAGTATAATATTTATATTTTTTTAAGAAATTATAAATAATATTATTTACCTTTTAGGATAAAATATCTATTTACTTCTAAAGAACTATATTAATATAGTAATTATAAAGGGATTATTATATTAATTATTATAATAGATTATTATAAATATAATTATTATAATAATATTAGAAGTATAATAATATATCTATTTCTTAGGGCTTTAAAGTATTAAAGCTATTAAACTATAGATAGATCTATAAGCTTTATCTAAATTAGTTTTAAAATTCTATAAAACCTCTTTATAGTATTTCTTAGTATAAATTTAAGTGAACTTTATTTTAGCTATATCTTTTAATAGGTTAGAATAAGTTTTATAAATACTATAAAATCTTAGATTATTATTTACTAAATCTAGTATTAATATAAGAGA